TTTTCAGGTCAGGAAATCCATTAAAAAAACACTACCATCCCAAACACACAGACTTTATTTAAATTTTGTCACTTGTCTCAACAATGTTTCTTTTTTACTTTTTGGGATAAAGATCTCATGGAACACATATTGCATTTAGTTGTCATTGCATTTAGTTGTCTGCACAATGTATCACACTGGAGGGTAAATGATGTTGATGCATGCCACTACTGTTGATGTTAACCTTTAAGATCTCATTGTGTTGGTGTCTGCCAGGTGTCTATAACATTAGATCATTATTTTTCCCCTATGCATTGGATTATTTTTAATACTAGAGCTATTCCAAGAATGTCAATGTCCCATTTCTCATCAATTTATCGCCCATTAATCTTTACTGACAACTCCTAAGCACTATGACAGTTGCCAAATGGAAATATTTCATGTATATCATTCTATGATTGCTAGTTGGCATTTCACTGTAAAGAACAGCTTTCCCTTCTTATTGATTGATTCACTGATTGATACTTTTAGATCCCTATTCTAATCAATGGGCTATAATCTATTACTGTCATGATTCATTTAATATTCAAATTATGCAAGATCTGATCAGTGGGAGGTTATTCAAGCTGGTTCTTCTGTCCTTTTGACACATTTTAATCATATTTTGAGCATTTCTTTACTGGTATAAGATGTTCCAGGTTCATTTCATACTTTTTCTGGTCTACCTCTGGAATCAGACCTTTTTCCAAAGGGCCCTGATTCCTTCTAGTGGAGGACAACATTTAGACACCAAGATTTGTGTTCTCAAAGTATTCCTTGTTAGTTGAGTACACTGCTTTTTGTCTCTCTCAGTAAAATCTATGTGTATTACTGCACACATATACATGTAAGTACATACATTTATGACTAATTCTATATCTGTGTATGTATGGTACATACACATACCACAAACTCACACTCTCCAATGCCAATCCAACATGTCTAATTCCAATCCAAAACTTGGAACTAAAAGGATTATATTTAGCCTTCTTCCTCCTTTTATATGTGCCAGTCAATATTTTCTCCAACAGTGAGATGCCTGACTTTCATTATCTTAATTATCTTTAATACCATTATCTACCACTTTTATATGACTCCTCCCTGCCTCCCTGAATATCTTAGCATGCAGGGGAAGTAAGGGCTTCTTATGTACTTTTACAGATCCTTATACCTCACTTTTATATCCTCATGGTTTGTCATCTGCTCTGTATCCCCAATAACTGTTAAGTTCAGAGATTGGATGCTATCTGTACCTGTTAATTCAGAGTAATAAATGCCTATCAAAGGAATAAAAGAAATTTTTCATTGGACAGTTTTAGGAATCATCAGTGACAAAGTCATAAGAATGGACTAGATTTCAAGAATTGAGAAGAAAAAAGGTCAAAGATAATTTTCTTAAAATACCAGTGATATAAGAAAGGGAAAAACTGAATAGCTAAAAAATTAGCAAGTGGACTGGGACCATTTATTTCAGAGTGCATGAGGGGAGTTTCAAGAAGTGGTCAAAACTATCAAAAGTTATAAAGAAGTAAATTAGGAGGGGTGAAAACGTGTGATTAAACATTATTTTCAATTGTGAGCTTGAAGTTATTCCTTTTTTAAGTCTTGAAATGATTCTAGTTTAATACTCTGATTCTAAATTTCATTGGTAATACCATGTTTTATCACTGGAAATAATTTTCTTCAAAAGTTTATTTTTTTATTTTGAAATATCAGAACAATTGACAAGTCTTTCTGTTATTATCACTAATCCTATAGAAATCTTGATCAAGGTCAAGTTGTCTTGCAAAATGACTCTTTACCCACATTTAACTCTTTAGTCACCAGTGTTTGTCTTTTGGTAAGTCAAATCTTTACTTTTTAAAAACATTTTTCTCAGTCCCAGGATGACCAGGTGATGGTTTTATGCATCAAAAGGGTATGATCACTAGATTCTTTAAACCCATAATATCAGGAAAAATAAATTGATACATTTTGTGGGTTAATATTATATTCTCACATTTGTCAACATGTCAAATGTATTCCATTGAGACTTAACTAGTCACAAATTTTGGGACACATTCTTTGCTTTATAAAAGATCTTCACTTTGACAGAAAATAACACTAGAAATAATAACAAATAGAAAGTCAACAATAATATACACTTGTGAGCCAGTATACCTGTTAACAGAGTTTCAGGAATGGTGAGAAATTCTAATTCTATAGTGTCAATAAATCAGTAACTTATTCTTGGTGCCACTCACTCACAGTCTCTGTACTTCTGGCTGTCTTGGTTTCCTTAGCAGTGTTGAATGAACACTGAATTTTTCAGATTAAACATTATATCTATGAGAAGGATAAAGACCTCCAGGTTATGGATGTTTCAATACCACCAACTTATTCTGACCAGTTGAACCAATTCCAGTGTAATTTCTGTTTCATGTGTTTTCCCATAGGTATTTATTCTTTGCAATCTTGCAGATTTTTGTAATTTTACTTTTCCTTTCATCATTTGAGACAATATTACCCCTTCCTGCATTTTTGGGCATAGTGATATTATACTATGTTCCAAATACTCAGTCCTATAAATATATAAACAGTATAAGCCATTGTGTATTTAGTCCAGAATCATGAAAACCACCTCAGAAATAATTAAGTGTAAATTCTGGAGAAGCTCTTTATTAAAGGCAAGTCTTTTGCATATTCAAATGACTAGTCAACACCACTGAAGAAGTTAATAGTTTACTTTTTATTTTCTTAGATACAATCTACCAATAAAATAAAGTTTTTATCATTTTAAATAGACTAAATTTGAAAATTTAACATTTGTTTTAATAGACATCATTCCAATTAATCACCAAAAATAGCACTGCCAATTCTACTGTAATGACTACATAGAAACTGAAGAACTGTTTTGTTGTTTGAAAATGTTGTGCTATTAGTTAACAGTGTAAATGTTGTTTTAGGAAAAATTTAACAGTTTGCTCAAAATTCTTTAAAAACAATAGTAAAAATGTAAATTATTATAAATTTGAAAGATGTTTAGATTAATAAAGCTTAACTATACATGGGGAGGAGGACAAAAAAGGGCCACTCAGAAGAGTACAATTGTTTTAAAATATACTTAGGTAAAGACTGTTCAAAATTACTGACAAAAAAAGAACCCATATTGTACCTCTATTACCATTAACTATTTAATTGCTTCTTTTAAAAATCCAAAGGCATTATATATTAGTTCTTCAAAAATATTTCAAACGACCTAGATTTAGAATTCCACATTTCTACTGCCAATCCACTCCTCTTTCCAAAAGTCTTTCATTTTGTCAGTTTCTTTGGATGTGGAACTTAGCTTAGTATCTTATATGTAGCAGGCATTTCAACAGTGTCAAATGGATGCAATTACAGTAATTCCAAGGTATTTTCATAATTCATATGGAATAATAGTCAGAAAAATTCTCACATACATAGGGAAATTCATATTTCCCTAATGTAGATTCTTGCTGTTTAGTGGCTAGGCCATGTCTGATTTTGTGACCCCATGAACTGCAGCACGCCAGGCTTACACACCTCTTATATCTATGGATATACCTATGGATGGGATGTCTGAAACACCATGAAAACTGCAGTGAAAGATACAACTTTTTGTCCTTAAAAAGGAAATTTAAAAGACTCAGGCACCTATAAGCAGATCTGACTGTCAACATACACAGGTTCACTCACAGAGAAAATAAAACTCCCCATATGTTGAAACGCTTGGCATCTGTGTACTTCTTTTTCCTATTTCCTGCCATGTTCCCCTGGCCCTATGTACTGAATGCAGATTCATTCTGAAGGAGAAAACTCCCCCAGCTGCTAACGTGAGGACTTCAGCACTGTAGCAATGGGATGATCCAGCACTGCTGCTTGCTTAAAGGTCTCCCCTGGGGATGGATGTGGGTGCTGGCACACCCAGTTGTGTGTTAGGACACTTCAAGGACACTAATTTCAATAAGAGGAGAGGGGAAGGAAAGCTCCATTTTTATCAAACGTGCTATCAAAAACCCAATTTTCTTATTTCATTTTTTGGTCAGGAAGCAAGCAGAAATTTTTTACAAAAGAAAAGATTTATTGTGATAACAGGCTTTACTTCAGATCTGGGTAAATGATGATAAAAACAATTAAAAGTGACAAAATAATTATCTTAACATAAATATTCCAAACAGTTAAGCACTTAATTTACTCTTGTTTTAGATACACACACACACACACGCTGTCTCTAGTCTAAACTTAAAACTATAACATACCTGGAAGTAAAAACTGTGTTTTATTCTCTTTAGCAAATAAATATTTGTTATTGATAAACTATTTGAGGACAAAAATCTATGAAATCTCAGAGCTCTTGTAGGTAAAAATAGACGGACAATCTACTGTTAACTAGTGATCTAACCGTTCTAGAAGAAGCTAATTATATGCCAGATACGTGACTATAATTGAGCAAAATTGATATGTTACAGCCATGTTATTGTAACTCTAATATAAAAATAAACTTAAGTATGTTTATAGAAAATTTCACTGCCATCCTTTACAGTGTAATCTGCATTTACCAAAGTCATACATATTTTGAAGGTTAGGATCAAAGTATATGGTAGACTCCAAGGGTCAGCAAACTTTTTCCTGTAAATATTTAGATAATAAATATTTTAGGGTTGCAGGTCACCTATGGTTTCCATCGTGACTCAAATTTCCTATTGCAGTGTTAAAAGAAGCCACAGACAATGCATGAATGAATGAATATGGCAGCGTTCCAGTACAATTTTATTTACAAAAAGTCAACCAAACTATGGGCCAACCGTTGATGTAGATTATACATCACTAGAAGTACCATAAAATGAAATGAAGGATAATTTAGCATTTTTATAAGAAAGAAATATATGTGACATTGTCAAGATCTTTATTGACTCTTTAGAAAAAGCAAAACAAAAACACCAAAAGATCAAACTTCAGTAGCACACATAAAATCTTACCTGGTTAGGTATCCTCAATGGGGGCCTTGGACCTCCAGGGTATCGAGGTGACATAAAAGGCTATTGAAGTAAAACAAATAAATAAACAAAACAACAAAAAATGTAAAATACAGATCTGAAAATAAACTGCTTTGAAGAACTTTAGAATTACACAAAACATAAATTTACTTCTGTGGCTAATTTCAGTAGAATAAGTGCTTTGGAGAAAAATTACCGTCCTTTTTTTTTTAGTTGTAAAATATCTGGAAAAACTGCCAAACTTTCTTAAAATGTGAATTATGAATAAGATAAGGCTATATAATCGGCAAAAGGTAAGATTAAGAAATTTAGGCAACTGAATTTTAGTAACGACTTCAGGAAGAGAATTACTGGCTATATCATTATACAAGTTGGATTCTGAGTATATTCTTTGGACCAAATTACCCAATTTGGTTTTTGTTTTCCTCTAATAATTTTAGAGTTGCCAAATTTCTTCATCTTTTCTTTTGTTATTCTGTTTAAAATGGTAAAGACATTTCCTTCCCAAGGGACATTTGTAGTTAGAAAACCTTCAGCCTTCTTTCATTAAGAGTTTGCTGTAATTCAAAATTGATTATAAATTTTAAAGTTGAAATTTCTTTGCATATTTTGAGCCTAGCAGACTATGAGGTATGTACATTTTTAACAAAACAGTTTTTAATCAAAGTATAGTTAATTTATAATGTGGCATTAGTTTCAGATGTACAGTAAAGTGATTCAATTATACACATATATATGCAAACATACATATATACTTATTTAGATTCTTTTTCATTACAGGCTATCATAAGATATTGAATATAGTCCCTGTTCTATACAGCAAGTCCTTGTTGCTTATTTTATTAATAGTAGTGTGTATATGTTATGAGGTGTATACTTTAATTAACAGAAAAATGTCCTTATATTAAAATACAAGTTGATTATTTTGTTAGATGACTCAGAGGTTGCTAAGATGTGCTGACTCTGACAGTCCCAAAACTATCTGAAAAATATGCTAAAAGTATCATTTTGATGATTGTTCAATGTTGAGTGGAAGAATATTTTTGACACTTAGATTTGAGCACAAATTAAAAAAATTGTTCAAAATTCCATTTTTATAAATGTAACTGATTATACTATAATACATAATTACATGTAATGTAAGCAAATTATCAACTCTGAAGGGTTGAATATTAATTAAAATATTAAGAATGAATTCACTGAAGACTTGTACAAGCCAATTCTATACAGTAGTTCACACAATTCTAAATTCCATTTTTATAATACTTTCTTACAAATATTTTTAGAAATTAGACCTGCAGTTCATGGCTACACATATTTTCTAGGGTTATTTTAAAAGCAGCATCTGAAAAATTATAACAAATTTATGTGGTATAGACTTTCTCTTTTGGAGACATGGACACATCAATAAGAACTTTAGAATTCAGCAATTTGGCTTTTTGCTCGCTGTGTTCTCATATGTTAACATAGTCTTAGGAGATCATTTTAAATGAAACAGTGGATTATTTAGGTAATAGTGTCAAATTCAGCTGGTAAAACTTAAATGGATTTTCCAGTTTAAACATTTAAAAAATGTTTAGTTTTTACACATTTAATCAAAGTTGACTCTCCTTTACCAATTCTGAAGTGCTGCTCTAAATTGGATTAATTAGTTAACTATACTGTCAACCAGAAGTTCATCTCAGTGTTCACACTCCCTCTGCTACTTTCCCGATCACCTAATTTAATTTATGAAACTGTCCTGGACTTATTTAAACAATTTAATAATTAAGTGTGGTGTCACTGATTTTGGAATGGTTGGCTTTCCTTCACAAGTGATGTTTTATGACATAGTCACTAAGCCAAAATACAATATCAATTTAATGTTTGAGACATGGAGAAATAAAAATAGGTTACTAATAATTCCTGTCTATAATAAAATCACTTCAAAGTGGAATAGAAGGTAGAAATTATTAAAACGCTACTAAATCCTGGTAGACATTGAAATGCACCTTAGTTGGGTCAGAGAATTTGAGATTATATGTTCCTCTGAATGTAAAATAACGTTACAGTATTAATATAAATGGACTATTTAAAAAGAGATCTTCTCTAATCAGTTGCACTGTGAGTATGTGTGTTTTAACAGGACCGTTGTACGCTCCTATCTGAACATGAGGCCCCATCAAGACACTACTGAGACAGGCAGTGCATGTGGCTGTGAGCCTGCGGCCCCTCTGGAGTAAGACTGGGAGAGAGAGTCTCTTTTAAATTTACTTCCCCTTGAACGCCCTCCGCCAAGAAGTTCACTTTTTGGCAGGGGGCTGGGGACGGTAAAAAACAAAATTGAAACCCTATACAATTAAAGCAAAAAATAACAAAAAGCTAGTTAATTTAGATAACAATCTACTACTTTTCCTTAAAATATAAATATAAAGAATGGGTAAAGGATTTTTCTTTGGGTAAAGTATTTTAATACTAAATCAGCACTGTAGCCCTTAATATTCAGATTGATTCTTAAGTTATCCAGTTAACCACTGAGGTCCTCAAACTGCTTGTTGATGTGCAGACACAATAGCAGAACCTAAAGAGTTTAGTATTAGAAACAGAACATTCTACTATATTTGTATTTCACTATTCAGAAGTCAATTTGCTTTCAAATATAATTCAAGATAGTAAAACAAGTTTAAATTATTTTATGGTAAAATGCTAATATAAGAGATTACCTACTGATAGTATGTGTGTGTGCTAAATTGCTTCTGTCGTGTCCGACTCTTTGTGACCCCATGGACTGTAGCCCGCCAGGCTCCTCTGTCCATGGGATTCTCCAGGCAAGAATACTGGAGCAGGCAGCCATGCCCTCGGCTAAGGGATCTTCCTGACCCAGGGACTGAATGCGCATCTCTTACATCTCCTGTGTTGGCAGGTGGGTTCTTTAACATTAGCACCACCTGGGAAGCCTCTACATCTATTGACAGACCTGTCAGTACTCTCTCTGTTGATAACCTGGAAAGAACAGATTCCTCAAAGGAGTCCTTAGCTACGAGAGTGTGCTAACTTTTTATATTTGGGGAATTCTTTTTCATAGTTGGGACATCAAAACATTTGCCTGAAGATGTCAGGAGGATGAATCAATATTTTAAATGGAAAAAGCCTTCCCCTGAAAAAATGGGCTAAACAGTTATAATACGTGCAGAAAAAACATTTGACTGAGAGTCAAACGGGCCAGGATTCTAGTTTTTGTATGTCCACTAATTAGCAGAGGGACCCTAAATTAAAAACCTTTCAGGGCTTTAGCTTTCTCAATCTAAAATGAGTTAGACTAGATGATCTCAAAAGTCTCTTGGGAAGTAATAATTTAAAAAGTCCCATGATTCTGTGTTAATTATTTCCAGCATTACCCCTAAGTGTAAAGGTTAGTGTACTACAGATATAAATATTTGAAGCGTGGGGATGGGACTGGGGGGGATATCAGTGTATGTTCCTAAGGCACAAACTATCTGTATCAAGGAGCTAGAGAAGTTTATTCCTATGATTTCCAGGAAAAAGAAAAACCTCATTGAAGAAAAAAATATACTCCAACAATGGTGCTCTTTTTTCAGATCAAAGGTCAATAGAATAAAAAAGCTATGCTTATTGATTAAAAGGTATACTAGAGATTTGTTCTTTCACCAAGTGTTTACTGAACACCCACAAAGCCACTGTTCTCAGTGGCTGGACGTATCAGTGAACAAACCAGATAAAGATCATTGTCTTCTGCTTAGGATTTTTCAAAGTTCACAGTCCTATAATTAACAGGAGAAACAATTTTCTGGAAAAACTATTTTCTACAGTCCACTAATCAGGAAGAAATAGAATGTTCTCTTCACAAAATGGCAAATATCAATGAAAACCAAAAGAAAATAATATTTCAATCTGGTGCCTTCCCTCAGAAGTCATATTACATCATCCCTACTTGATAGAACATGTAGTGCTATGAATGACTGAAATTCAAGGCTATGTTTTTAAAAAGGCTTTCCAAATTAGGGTTTCCTAAGGTTCTTTATAATACATAAGATAAACTGAGTAGCACAGTTAGTACCCTGACATATGGAAAACATTTACAGGTATAAATTCTTATTTCTACATGTTTTAGCCATTTACTTAGAATGAATGGGATAAGCCAAAGTGGAAGCAATAAAAATATATACAAAGCCAGAAAAATCAATAAATTATTTGATGACTAAATGAAAGGAGAAAGAAAAAAACTAACAGAAATATAAACCAAGTGTCCAGCTCATTTCCTCCAAGTAGTCTTTTAAAGAAAAGATCACACCACTTAGAATCATAATTTATTTCAGAATGAATGTCATTCCATCTTAAAGGATTATTATTTTCCATTATATCAAGAATTATTCATGAAATATTAAACTTCTGCTTTCCTAAAAAGAGATTTTCCTTTATGCTTTTCCATTTCTGCTAGTAGAAAGTCATAGTCTCCCTCTTATTTGATCTTCATAAGCCATTAGTGCTTTATCTCAATTCTCTAAGATTTAGAAGGAACTGGCTCTTTCTCATCTTTCCTTCTCTGAAAATCCTGGAACCCACTCCGCCCTCATGGAATTATTTTACAATAATTTACCCATCCTGAAATTATAGGTGGTAAGAACCATTTTAAGCCCTAACTTCTTTTCATATATATATATATGATCAAACTATACATCTTAAATGACACACTGCTCAAATGTTAACCTTACTAATATCTTCTAACGTTTTACTAGTTTCTAGAAAGCATAAATAAGATTAATAATCAACAGCAGAATATTTCTTGAGATAACTCTGTTCTCTCCTTTCTCTGCCAAGTAAACTTCTACTAACCCTCCAGGGGCTGGTTTAAGTGTCACCCCCTCTTTAAAGAAAGTCCATAGGCTCCTTTCTCTATTTTCTGAGTGTGGGGCAGCCGGGGCTGGCAGGCGGCCCGGACCTGGGTTTCGGTTTCCCCTGAAATGGTGGGATTCCCCGCCCCCATCAGGTAACCTGGAGCCAGCCAATCAACATGCGCCTAGCAAGAAAAAGGGAACCTATCA